AATATGTGAAATTTTTATCCTTTTTAATGAAGTGCGGGCAAGAAATAATATTTTTAATGCAATCATTGATATGAAATATTAATTTATCTGTCGTTAATATGTTAATTTAGTGGCCCAAGAATTCGCTGCCAAGCGTTCATTGTAGCAAGCATACTTTTAATGTGCGTTCTGTCAAACCAACGCCAACGCCAAAGCCAACGCGAAAGTTCTATGTGGACCGGCCTTTAGGGAACGCAACTAATACATGAAAGGTTCGTTCAGAGAACGACAATGAAATTTTGGATGTACGTTGCCACAGGTGCACGACATGTTTTGTAATGCATAAAAATTTACAGATTTTTTTCATTTGTATTTGGAAAAGTATCAAAATTGAAAAAGGAAAAATGTATTATTTTGATCCACTTGGATCAAAACGGTCACACTGGTTGTGTGTATATAATCGGAATTGGGTACCGAAAAGGAAGTATTGGGTACCGAAATCTTTCTGTGGTACTGGCTACCGAGTATTGGGTACCGGCAATTCAGCACATCACTTTTATTTATTTCCTTTGTGGCTTGTTTACATCGAGCGAGTGTAATAAAATACAAAGCCAAAATGAAGATGAAACTTGTCGATTCTGTTGTAAAAAGTTTTAAAGTTGCAAAGGTATTCCGTGAAAATACTGACAAAATCAACGCGATCGATTTCTCTCCCAATGGTGAACATTTGATTTCATGCAGCGAGGATGACCAAATTGTTATTTACGATTGTGAAAAAGGAACCCAGTCTCGAACTGTTAACTCAAAGAAATATGGCGTTGACTTAATACGATTCACCCACGCCAACAATACAGCAATTCACAGTTCAACTAAAGTAGATGACACCATACGATACTTAAGTCTCCATGATAATAAATATTTACGCTACTTTCCTGGCCATACTAAAAAAGTAATTTCGCTGTGTATTTCGCCGGTTGAGGACACTTTTCTATCTGGTTCTTTGGATAAGACTTTGCGACTATGGGATCTGCGCTCACCCAATTGCCAAGGCCTAATGAATTTACCTGGACGCCCTGTTGCTGCATACGACCCGGAAGGATTAATATTTGCAGCTGGCGTTAACTCTGAGAGCATTAAATTGTATGATTTGCGATCATTTGATAAAGGTCCTTTTGTCACTTTCAAACTATATCAAGAAAAAGAATGTGATTGGACTGGTTTGAAGTTTTCAAGGGATGGCAAAATAATTCTTATTAGTACAAACGGGTCTATTATACGTTTAGTAGATGCGTTTCATGGTACTCCTTTACAAACATTTACTGGTTATCCGAACAACAAAGGTATTCCCATAGAAGCAAGTTTCAGCCCAGATTCACAATTTATATTTTCGGGAAGTACAGACGGCCGAGTACACATATGGAATGCCGATACTGGTTGTAAAGTATGTGTTTTAAATGGGGATCACCCAGGGCCCGTGCAGTGCGTACAATTCAACCCCAAATACATGATGCTTGCATCGGCTTGTACTAATATGGCTTTTTGGCTGCCAACTGCTGAAGAGGATCTATAAAATCGTTTATAAAAATAAAAATCTTTGTATGTATTCTTGGAACTAAATCGAAATTTAAATTTTAGTTAATAGAAATAAATATAAACCAAAAGAGTTACAAATCATTTCGTAATTTATTTGGCTTATGTCGTTCATAATACTCGCGAATAATAGATAATAACTGGCAGAGATTTTCGCCTGTTTTCGCACTGATTGGAATCAGTTTCATAGCAAGTTTTTTTTGTAAATCTAAATAGTTCTCCTTGGCTTCTGGTAAATCCATCTTATTTGCAACCACTATTTTAGGTCGCTCTGCCAAAGTAGGGCTAAATTGTCTTAATTCATGCAATAATTGTTCATAATGAAGATGGGATTCTTCCAAACTAGCATCTAGAACAATAAGTAAAACCTTACAACGCTCTGCGTGTTTAAGGAATTGTATACCAAGTCCTCTATTAAGATGCGAGCCGGGTATTAATCCAGGCAAATCAGCCACTGTCAATTGAGTGAAGTCCTCATACTGCACCATTCCAACGTATGGTCGCAGAGTCGTGAAAGGGTAGGGTGCAACCTTGGGCTTCGCTCGGGTAATTGCATTTAGCAAAGAACTTTTACCAGCATTTGGATGCCCAATAAACCCAACATCCGCCATAGTTCGCAACTCCAAAATGTATGTTGCTTCTTCACCTTGTGGTCCATACTCGCAAATCTTCGGTGATTTTTGGACTGCGGTCGCAAAGAACCGATTTCCTTTTCCACCCACGCCTCCACGCGCTGCAACAAACATTAAATTTACTTCACTTAAATCCCCCACCACACAACCCAATTTATTTCGCACCACGGTTCCAATTGGTACTTTTACAATAGTATGCTGAGCATTCTTGCCATGACAGTTTTCGCTACTTCCATTTTCTCCTGATACTCCACGCAAAGTACTAAGTATATGATTAAAATTTCGCACATCTGTAGTTGATTGGAAAATAACGTGTCCACCATTTCCACCGTCCCCGCCATCAGGACCAGCTCGTTCATTACACCAAACTTGCAAAAAAGATATACATCCATCTCCACCTTTCCCTCCGATTACATTAACTTGTTTTGAATCCACAAAGAATATTGGCTGTCGTAAAGAGTTCAGATTTAATAAATATGTATGTATGTGCATACATATTAAAAGCAGCACCAAACCTCTTTTCGAGTCGATTTTGTTTTGATGGGACGCAAGGCTTTTGGCAAGGCATGTGTTTTTCGTAATAAAATTCTTAAACAGTATTCGCCTGCGGAAATTTTCCTAAATATCGGTAAAGAGCGAGAAAAAAACATTTTAAGATTTATGCAATTGGTGTGTGTATTAATGGAATTTACGAAACACACATGGTAAACTTTAAAGCTGAAATTAGTCAAGAACGTAAACCTACCGGTACGTAAACCCGAGTCAGCTGACACGATCTGTCTTACCAAAGCGCCATGTAAATGAAAACTCAACACCGCAGAATTTTTCTGTAGTTGTAGCCCGTAGCGCAGAAACTGCGGAATTTAGATTTTTCCGTGTCAGCTGATTTCTCCTTCTTTAGATGGTTGCCACTTCGTCAGTTTTGCAGATGGTAAAAAAGTTATAAGTTCCTATTCGAAATATGTTTAAAATATTTGAAATTTACTATTAAATAAGGTTTTTGTTGAAAACTAAGTAGTTTATATTTAGTTACAATCTATTATAGC